TAAACATGCACCAAAGTAATGTGTATGCTTGGTGTGTGATTATCTCTTTCGTTTTGCTTTTCATTTCAGTCTTGTTCTTGATGGCCCAAGTTTTCCCATTGACGGCCGATTTAATTTCAATTGATCGTAATGTACAGAAGGGGGTTGATCCCCTTTATGTTGGGGAGTTTTAGCGCTGTGGAGCATTGTAGAAATGCCATCTAGGTTTCCCATTTGAACCAGTTTCATCCTCACTGCTCGATTTGATCCGGACTATAGCTGTAACCCTTGCTGGCTGACAGAAGGCCGGAGCAATATTTTCTATTATAGTTTGATTTTACATCGTATTTTTGGTACAAGTATGGAATTTTCAGCATGTGATATCGGTAGCCCGATTTTCGCAGGCCAACCGTTGACATCCGGTGTGAGTCACCAGGAGATCGAACCTCGGACCATGTGCGTGGCCGGTGACAGTCCTAGCCGCTGTGCCACCGACTCATGAGACCAGAATGCTGATGTAAACTATATCGACGTTGTGTATAGTCGCAATGTATATATATTAGCCAGCTGCGAACTTGATTTTCTAACTGGTGTATAATTAACTTCAGTGTGTTGGTTTGTTGTAGGCTGGTCAATAGGTATTCAACGGTCTTACCAGTTTTTCACTATCAGTAAAGCTGAAATTCATTTGGTCATTAATTACCTGATTAGCGCTCCGAGTCCTGGATAGTTATCTTTTGATAACAGAAATTATCCTCTCTAGATTTATGGACAGTTTCCAATACTCGCAATTAACATCAATGAAATGCATAATGCTGGATTAAAGCCTACTCAGTCATCCAGATGATAACTACAGGAGATAAAAAGGCATATCGAACGTTGCTTAATTTACTCCCTGTTCTGTGATAGATTCTTTCGTCCGGGAAAAAGTCTTTTGGCAACATCACATCTGCTAATAACCCACCAGGGTTCCTGTTCATTAAGATTGGAAAACGTGAAAGCATGGCTGCCAAAGTCCAGTTTTTCTACGCTGGACCTCACGCTGTCCCTGGAAGACTTTCAGAATCAATTTGTAATAACCAACGCAAAAAACCAGGACACAGATTGGCGACTAGAGAATCCTTTATTCTTACGCCAATATGTAACCAACAATAAGGTTATTATACACAGGGTCTAAGAATAAATGTTATAACAATAAATCACGATATTACTTCTGATAGTTTTCTGTCTTCCACCGAACAGCGAACGATGAGACGATGACTGGCGTATCGATGACTCTCGCGAAAAATATAGAGGTCGGATCGAGCAAACATCCATGAATTGATCGCTCAATCTTCAACTACATTGACACTCTCCGGCAAAAACGGAATCCATCCCTTTTTTCCATCACGACCAATACGCTTTGACTTGGGTGTTAGTGCGAGAACCTGCGCCACACGTTCAAAGCTGAAATGGAGAACAAACAGCAAATCCAACACACCACAGGCATACACACAGCACAATCTCACACATCGATGACGACCTACGCCTTCCGGTTAAAGGCAACACAATTGCCACTTGCCAGAATGACTCTTGCAGAACGCAACGTGACCAAAGCAGTACCTCAAGATACCCTTCGCACATCCTCTTATCTATTCACTACCAATTACCACTGCAATCGCTTGTCACTCATTCTGCCTCAGTTCTAGTTGCGGTGACGTATGCAAGCCTCAGTCGTCTACACTCCAGCCCCCTGGCGTGTGGAACTACAGACTAAATGGAAACGTTCATTCTCAGTCATTGATTCCACAGCTAGTACTTATCTCCGTGTGAATGTCGTTCTCAGCACTAGCCTCCCGGCGCATACGGCCCATCTACTCTCTTTAACATCAATCAATTCATTCACAGATGTAGAAGACTAGAAACAACTTCAGAAGTAAGCACGAGAAAAATTTTAGCAAAATATGCAATGCAACAAAGTGGGAAAACAACAAGTAATCATAGTGGATGCAAAACACCAATTGATATGACACACCACATGTGTACAAACAGTACACACAAACTCGCAGATCATTTCTTGACGGAATCCCTTTAAAGAATCGCAGGACTTACACCAGCACGCCTGCAACCCTCCTCAGGTTGACGACTGTGAGTTGAAGGATGTATGGACACAAACAAGATTAACCAACAATCACATTAATTGGAACCCACTCAATTACTTAACACAAACATATGTACAACCAATTCATCAAATGTTGTGGATTCTGGCGTGACGTCCTGTAGGACTTACAGCAGTACGCCTACATTCCTTCTCAGGTTGATGATCCAAGTGGAAGTCGTCCGGACACAAACAGAATTACCAACAGACAGATGACAGATGATACCAATTCAGTATATGCAACATCAACATATGTACAAAATAACACACTCTAAGCACGTTGGGCTGCTCACCGGCGGGCTACCCTTTGAAGAATTGTAGGACTTGCAGCAGTACGCCTACAGTCCTTCTCAGGTTAACGCCCTGGGTTGGAAAATCGTCGAAGAGTTCATTTGCTGACTTCTTTCTATCATCTATATCTTCAACTCTGAACGGTTACACGCCCATGTCATCGTATTGTAGAATATAGATGACTAACAAACACACAACGTATCTGATCAACCAAGCGTAGGCCCAGAGTAATTTACACCAAAGATAATAGCATTCAAATAGTAACCTGGAACTTGAAAAACCTATATTCATGCAAGTCAATTTAACAATTACACTTTCATACACAGTTGGCGTATCCTCGCTAAACTGAGCAATATCCTTCGTCTTTTCAAATGCACCAATACTATCATAGTCATTGTACAAGACGATTGAGTTCATGGGCGTCTTTTTCATTGTGGATAACAACACCAACAACGACTGAGTGATACCAGTTGATGAACTTAGCGGTGGATCAAAGGCTGTTGTTGTTCGGCTTTCAGATAGTTGTCTAACTGCAAGATTACCACCACTGCTGTCCTTTACTATTAGCTCTGGTTTAGCATTAGCATCTGATGATAGGTGGGCTACACGCTGATCATTTGCACTGACGGTCACACGAGTATCCATACCCTCTGCAATCGCATCTGCCCTTCGGTCCACTTCACGTTCAAGTTGTACAGGACCTTTGTTCAACTCAGCAGTAGTAGGCATTCCCCTCATCTCATCATGATCAACCATAGACGAAAGTGTACTATCATGATCATTATCACGAATATTCACTTTACCGTCGTCTATCTGATCGACTTCATTTTCAAACTCTTTAATAAGAGCAGTAGACTATTTGGGTTCTTCCTCACAAACCCTTAAAGGTTTTATACCTTTACTCTGACTAGTAATACCTTGTAAACTTGTGAAGTCAGAACTGTCCTCTGAGACTGTAACTCTCTTCTGTGACACTCTATTCAACAATTGCTTACCAGTTGCAACTACAGGCTTCTTCACTACACCACTATCGTCACACAAATCGGAGTCAGACCTTGATTTCACATTTAGCTTACTACCAAACTTGGTCACTTCTTCACAGTTCACCTTTGTATACCCCGGCGGCCTGCTTGAACATAGGGCTACCAAAAATTCCACCTTACAACATTTTGCAAAATTGCTTTGGTTTGCTCTTTTAATTTTGTTTTAATTTATCAATTATGTGTCCTAATCGTATTATATATAATCGCGCATTTTTAAAATCATTACAACCTACCGCGTTGTGTCATCCACAAAAATTGAGAAAAAAGCATCACTGTGGCTGGCAGCGTGCACTGAAACGTACACAAATTAATCAAATGACTGTTCCTGAACTCGTTAGCACTAATTGTAGATCCCTGTCCAACAAAATGGATTACCTTCAATCCCTAATGTATTCCAATGTTTATCGAAATGCTGGCGTTTTAGCAATACAAGAGACTTGGCTGCACCAGCATTATGATGATAATCTAATTTCAATAAATGGATATAAAGTTTTTCGCCAAGATAGAAATAGTTCCAAGAAAAAATATGGAGGAGGGGTAGCCACATTTATAAGCACAAGTTGGTCTACATCAAATCACGTTTGCTTCAATTATTCTAATGACAGTATAGATTGCATAACCGTCAGGTGTCGCCTAAAACACTTAAGTAAATATTCTTATATATACATAACAAATATTTACATAACACCCAATTGTAGCCTTCCTAACATAGTTATGTTTGCAGATGAGTTTACTGAATTCGCTGCTACTGCATTCGGAAACTCGTTGTCTATAGTCTGTGGTGATTTCAATTCATGTGATCACAGCTTTCTTACTTCGCTTGGTCATGAGAATCTAGTCAAGTTTAATACACGTCTGGACAAATCACTAGACCTGGTTTTCATAAATGACCGTGATGTATATGAAACCCGAAGGAGAGCTCCTTTGCTAAATTCTGACCACTGCATTATTCGTATTTTACCGAAAGTGTACGGCAAGTTACAACGAAAATTGTTTAGTCATTTAACAAAGAAGATACATGAACGTTCATATTCCCATGACAACATTCTAGCATTAAGAAGCATGTTGCATGATACCAACTGGGAACTGTTTACTGAAGATAAGTTGGATGCTACTGTCTCTAATATAACCGATTATCTGAAGTTTTGTTTGGATATTTGCTGTCCTTATGAAACACTGTTTTCGAGATTTGACAGAATCTCTTCTTTGCAACTGAAAAAACTTAGAAGACAAAAAGAGAAGTTGTATAAGAATTGTGATAATACTGGTGTCCGTAAAATAAACACCCTTATAAAAATTGAAATAGAAAGGTTGAACAGACTATATAATGAAAAATTTTTATCATGTAAAAATCCTTCAAACATTTGGAAACTTTTCAATAAACTAACAAGTAAAAAACAAATGTCCGTTGATGCTTATTCTGATGTAAATGCTTTAAACAAATCATTTATCAAGAAACAAATTAATATGGTTGTACCTGATGTACCTAGTCAAGAAAATGGTCATTTTCCGGGTTTTGAAGAAAAGGATGTACTATTATGTTTGAAATCATTAAATCCAACACACAGCCTTGGTCCAGATGGTGTACCAAGCATTCTTCTCCAAAAGTGTGCAGACATCTTGTGTCATCCTCTTACTCAAATCTTTAACGCATCATTTAAGAGGGAAACGGTACCTGCTGACTGGAAAGAAATCAAGGTTGTACCTGTACAGAAATCATCTTCTGGAGCAGGTATAAAGTTTAGACCAGTCGCTATAACATCTCCTTTTTTGAAAACTATGGAGAAACTTCTTTTGAATATTCTTAAACCTTCTTTAAAAGCTTTTAGTGACCCTAAGCAGTTTGCTTATAAGTGTGGAAGAAGTACATTAGATGCAGCCATTGTACTACACCACAATATTGTTTCCTGCCTTGATAAGGGTGCTAAGTTCGTTCGAACAGCTTTCTTAGACTATACTGCAGCTTTCGACTCTGTTCCTAGGACACTTTTATTAGGCAAGATGAATTCAGCACAAACAGAGTCCTGGGCAACTAGATGGCTGTCTTCTTATTTTAAGGATAGGAAACAGCATACTGTTTTGGCTGGAAAGCGCTCCACTTCCCAGCTAACTGAAAGTGGTGTGCCTCAAGGTGCAGTACTTTCTCCATTTCTTTTCTCTTTCTTTTTGCATGACCTTCCGAACTCACCCAAAGTTAACTTCATTAAGTATGCTGATGACCTGACCGTTTCTGTCCCTGTAGTTTCCACATCGGATTGTTCCTATATGAATGGCTTTTTAGCTGAAGTTAAGGATTGGTCTGGCTCAAATGGTCTTAAACTAAATCCAACTAAATGTAACACTGTTGATTTTAGCTTGAGAAGTGAAAAAGACATGCATGGATTGATTCAATCTCATGATTGTTGTAATATTGATGGTACCATGATTGAGAGTAAGTCAAGTGTTTCTTATCTTGGCATTAGTTTCTCGTCAAATCTTTGCTGGTCGTCTCATATTCTTATAGTTTCTAAGAAAGTTTTCCGTCTGACTTATTACATAAAGAAGTTGAGACACTCAGGTATAACTCAATCTCTTATCATACAATTTATTAATTCATGTGTTTTGCCCATCATTCTTTATTGTTCTCCATTATTCTTCCCTGGGCTACTCAAGAAAGATCATATAATACTACGAAGAACATTGAGGGCTGTAAGTAGGGTCAGTGCTATCCCTTTGACTGAACTAAATGACACTGTTGTCAATAGGCATATGAATTCTTGTAAACACTTAGCTAAAGTTATCTTATCTGATAGTGAACATCCTCTTTATTCACAATTGTTTCCTTGTATCTCTTCGGGTAAGACCAGAAGAAATTTTATAAACATTTATGCTCGTACTACAAAATATAAAAATTCGACCGTTCCATATTTGGCACGAGTATTGTGTGAAGAGACAAATATCAGAAAAGAACTTTTACAACTTTTGAATCAATAACTAAATTATAAAATGAAATGATGCATATTAATGCAAGTGTTATTTGTTATATTATTTATTTATTATTCACTATGACCTAGAAAGAGTATGATTTTGTTGGGTTTTTTATTTTTATTTATTTTTTTATTATTTTTTCCTATTAACTATCAATATTTTAACATTTTATATAATTATAAACAGAGCTAAACCACTGCAATATGTAACAGAAACGCTGAAAATTCCATGCTGTAAATTGTTATTGTTGTGGAATAAAGTGATTATTATTATTATTAAACGTGTAAAACACAACCGTGTCTGTCTGGCAACTTGTGACCTATCCCTTAGCGATGTCCCACGAAAGCCGTTACAGTCACTAAGTTTATATGGATTGCTAGACGCCATAAAGCTTTCTCGATATCCGCTTCTCTGAGACCCTTTCGTCATAAATGATTGCGCTTTGCTCTCATACTTCTCTATTCTAGAGGTGGGATGCAATATACTGGCAAACCTGCTCATAGATTGATTGACGCTATCTTTCACCAGTTTCAGAATATCATCAAACTTTGGCTCAACACCTTCATCCTCTATACGGGAGCTTGTCTTCACCCAATTCCATTGCAGTCGAGTAGGTAGGCGTCTCGCTATTACCTCTAGGACTGAACATGAGTTCAGATGACTCATGCAAATCATCAAAATCAATGCATTCTTGTAAGTCAACAGATTCTCCAAAAACACAGAGAGTGCCTTGGAGTCACCTTGTAATTGTAATAATAACAATAATTTATATTTTCATATAAACATAAATTTACATGAAAATGCATGCCATTTTTACAGGCACGATCAAGTATGATATAATGTCAAATCGTAGGAAGTTTACAAGTTAATTGTGTTTCATCAGTTAAATATTTGATATATATATATATATATATATATATATATATATAAATACACTCGTTGTCTGAATCATTCCGTATAGTTACTGAATTGTACAGTTGTTCTCCAGGTTGAGCGGCAAAACCGACTTCGTTTCGTTTTCATCCCGTGGTTGTAGGCATACGATAACCAACCAATATTGAGGTAAGTACAACGTTTACAAGAGATTGAAAGCTGTTTTAGAAAAGTTAAAGTGCTAAGGTGAAATATTAAAGTGTAATAAATTAAGTAAGTGCAATATATCATTAATAAACACATTTATATAAGAAACAGAATGGGGAACCAATTAATCTTTAGGCCGACAACGTTCATTTGCAATGTATAATAATACCCATATACTTCGTACTATCATGGTGTTCACTTTTGGCTTTAATACAATTATTTTCAAGCCAGTTGTTTTAATTTCATGCCTTTTTGTCTATTTGGTGCACAACCGTACCCTCCAGAGAATAGGAATAGAATAAGTCGAATCAAATTCATAAAGAGCTATAAAATGTTAGGTTTAATGGAATATAATGAGGATCAAGGAAAGACGTTATTAGAAAATGAATGAGATAAGACATTGTGAAGTTGTATATAAAGATCTGACAATGGATAGCAAGTTAATTTATAAGATGCCCCATAAATCTGTGCAGATCCCGCGTGGTCGCATCTCAACAATAGGCTGAGCGAATGGTATATATTTAAAGGTAGAAGCATGATCTGTCGAGGCGTTCATTATTATCTTTTTCAACATAAAGATCTAAGCCCTCATAAAAATCAGAAATATCTCGAGCCTTCAAATTGCATATTGCTGTTCCTGCAGAATGGGGTGATTCACCTTAGTGACCACCACCATGTCTACTGATCAGCTAGCGCCACCCTCCCTCCTTTTTGATGTTAGGCTCTGAGACTATGATTATGGCTACCGCAAATATATTGCTTGGTACCAGACATGTTCGTACCCTATATTCCATCTCCCTAGCTTTCTTAATGAGTGCTTCCAATAGGTCTCCACGTACATCTTTATGAACATATTATATATGTGTGCATGCATCCTAATGAACAGATTACTTTATAAGAAGTTAAAACCTTAAAGAGTGAAACGAATAGGTGTTGTGAATGGTGGAGCAAGATTTAGGAGAACACTATAGTTGGTTCAGTGTAGGTAGTATGAACTGAAGGTAAGATCGGTTGACAGGACTTAGTGTAATAAATTGTCGTGACAGTCTTGTATATAGCAAACATCTGACATTGCAAAGTAACGTGTCTAGACATATTATAAAAGGATATTAACACAGAACCAACAAAATTTTGGCATTTGGTTAACAATATTGCAGTGTATGTATACTGAAGAAGGGTAGTTAGTCTACAGGGAGCCGTAAAGTAAATCAAACCATATATGATAAGGGTATAATGAAAATTATAATTCGTATTATCAAATAATACACTAGGCTCAATAACTGAGTGTTATAAGGGAAACAAGCGTGGTAAAGCAAGAGAACATTTGATGCATAAATATTTTAAGTATTTTAATAACCATCTTATTTAAGAATTGAACATGCATGATTAATAAGTATTATTATATTAGTATATACATATGTAAAACGTTAAAAGGTGTGGATGCTATTACAATTATTTCCAGTGTTACTTTTACCAGCACAACTTAGTGAAAATTATAGAGAATAGAAATCAGTAAATTAGTTAACGTTCGCTGCGTGAGTATTAGAGTCGAGATATACGAATGTGACTATACTGAAGACTGAACTACACTTCAATTTCCGTTCTACCAACAGTTGTGGTCTTTTAGACGAGCTAGGGTGGACATGTTAAAGTGTCTCTCTAGGCTCCGTTTGAACCCATCAGGGTTTTCACAACATCTTATTTCATGTGGTAGTTGGTTCCAAAGAGTGCAATATTTTATGGTGAAAAAGTTTGCCCTAATGGATTTTCTGTGGGTAGCCACCTTGACAAGGTAGTCGTGGTTTCGCAGCTGATATGATTTAATATTTTCCCACGTTATGGATGAGTTACTGTAGCAGTGTTTCCTAATGACTTTGAAGAGTAGAAATAGGTTGCACTTCACTCTCCTTAACCACAGAGGCTCTAATTTCAGACGTACACACCTGTCAACATATTCCACTTGTTGGTCGAACCCTATTATGCGTTTCGTGAGGAATCTCTGGACACTTTCGATTTTTTTCCTGTCTACAGTCCTGAGGTTACTAAATAGGAGAGCACAATATTCAAGTTTGGGACGGATACATGTCCTATATATAGCTAATTTTGCTTCTTGGGTGCAGAAGTTACGCAGTACAAAGCCAGTAAGTCGTTTACAGTCAGATACAACCTTATTTGCATGATCGGAAAAGGATAAATCTGAGTATGTTATCCCGAGATGTGTGACTGTGTTCAGTTTTGAAAGGAGCTTACCGTACATGCATTTGCATTAACAATTATGTTTATATGAAAATATAAATTATTATTGTCATTATTATTATAGGCACATTCTCGGTTTCCAGCATCCAAGCTGGGTTATACCGCACTTGTTAGGGTTGAAAGTCAGTTGCCACTTATCGCTCCAATCGCCTAGATCGTTTAAGTCTTGTTGGATCTTGCTTTCGACGCTCATATCACCGTACCCATAATCATATACTATCTTGAGATCATCTGCAAAAAGGTATGGCTTGCCATACTTGATTACAGAGACTATGTCATTTATAAGTAAGAGGAATAGAATAGGGCCAAGAACACTACCTTGTATTGCACCACTGGTTATCGGCTTTGAGGAAGATAGCTGGTGGTTGATTTTGACTAATTGCTCTCTTTCTGTGAGAAAAGAACTTATCCATTTGTGAAGATTTCCGGTTATTCCGTAGGATTGGAGTTTTGTTAGGAGTCTGATATGTGGGACTTTATCGAAGGCCTTGCTAACGTCAAGAAACAATGTTGTTACCGAACGCCCATTATCAATGCTTTGTGTAGTGTAGTTAAAATAATCTAAGTGGCAAGTTATGCACGACCTTCTACTTAAGAAACCATATTGGGATGGGGATAGTAGGTTATTTGACAGCAAGTGCTGAATGATTTGAGTCTTAACTATCTTTTCCATTACACGTGAAACTACAGACGTGATGTTGATGGGGCGGTAGTTGTTGATATCAGCTATAGGCCCGTATTTATGGATAGGTATAATATTTTTTTTATTTTTTTTTTTTATTTTTTATTTACAGCTTGATTCCACACCGTATTTTTGGTACAAGTATGGAATTTTCAGCGTGGATATCGGTAGCCCAAATTTTGCAGGCCGACCATAGATATAAGACTTCTTCCAGCAGTTAGGGTATGTCCCATCGCTTAATGAAATTGAGTATAACTTCAGTAAGAGTAAACTAATGTCATTACCACCGTTTTTCAGCAGAACGGAAGATATACCGTCTGGGCCAGTAGTGTTACTAAGCTTAAGATTTGCGACAGCTTTATCGATCTCATGTGTGGTGAAAATTATGTCACTTAAACATTCGTCTGTTTTACGTGGGAAATCCACGACTTCATCGTTCTCTAAGGTGTATAATCTGGCGAAGTGCTTGCTAAACAGTTCGCATATCGCCTCATTATTCTCGTAAGCAATGCTCTCTAGGTATATTATTTTCGGACTCAAAGAGTGCCTTGGAGTCATCTTGTAATTGACCACCATTGCCTTTAACAGCCTCGAATACGTTCCCTAGGGTCACTGAAGGTCTTGCAAACCTTTGGCACATGATATGCATCGCCTCAGTATATCCTTCATCAGGGGGCATGAACTTACAGCACTGTATAGCTCTTGAAGCAACTCCAGTGCAGTACCTCAAGAAATGCACTAACTTCATTTCATCATTTAATAAAAAACTACTCAACATGATCTCAAACTCTTTGATAAACTGTGGATAGTCGGTTGGGTTTCCATCAAATTACCGAGGCTCGAATTTAGGTAACTTTAAATCCTTACTATCCCTAAACAGCGAACCATGAACAACAGACTCATCATGCTGAGCATCATACATATCATTACAATTAACAAGCAACTCAGTATTACTTGCTTTCCTGTCTGCTTCCATGACGCTTTGTCCCTTGCTTGACCCAGGCATGGTTGACCAAAAAATCTAGAAAAGTTCCAGATAATGCTTGTGTCAATGTAGTTGAAGATTGAACGATCAGTTCATGGTTGTTTGCTCAAGCCCAACTTCCCCATATTTTCGCGGAGGCATCAATACGC